CGCCTGTAGTTCCAGCTACTTGGAAGGCTGAGGCGGAAGGATCGCCAGAGCCCAGCAGGTCGAGGCTGCGGTGGCCGGGAGCATGCCACTGCTCTCCAGCCTGGGCGACAGTGAGACTCCAACTCAAAAAAACAAAAAATAAAATACATGGATAACATTTTGGTTTATATGTTTCTTAAAGAGAGGTTGTTAGGTATGTTTCAAATTTTAAAATCTAGTTTGACATGATCCCACAGTTAAAAGTTCTTTATTGTAGGTAACGTAGTTCCTGGGTTCTTTGTTGTAATAACATGATTGTGAAATTCTCAAATTTCCCTTTTTAGCTCTTAGAAGTAGAACAGTACAATATGCAAGATTTTTGGAAACAGAGGGTTGAGGTTTAGTCTTCTCAAGTAGCTCTATAGTATTTTGCAAAAAGGAAAAAATACATATTATGTATAGGGAGTTTTAAAATCCTGATGCCATTATTAGTTTTTTCTTTGGAGTAGTACTCTTAGTGACTGGTCTGTTTTCAGTGGAATTTTTAAAACAGCATAGGTTACTGTATTTGCATTACCTATAGGGTTCTGCTGTTTGAGTACAAATGTTTTTGTTTTAATTCTAGAAGTACCTAAAACTAGGTAGAATAATGAAGTCACTCTGCTTTATTGCAGTCACTTTTGCTTGTATGCATAATGCTGTATGGGAGATAGCAAAACATGGAATTATAGCAAAGTGTCAGTGTATTTTCCAAAGACCTAAGGGAGATTTGGGCTGTTATGAAGGTGGGTGGTATGTTTAGTCAATTTGCAACAATACAGAATAGTGCTCTGAGCATAATTGTCTGTGGTTGTTATATAGTGATGGCTCTGAAGGTGGTATGCCTGTAAGAACATGACACCACAAGTTTTTGATCAAGTTACTGTGCCGGTTAAGTGACTAAATCTATTAGTCTTTTATGCTTTTTCTTTTTGTAGTCTTGGTAGCATTTTATTAAAACTTTCAACTTTTAAGATTTCTGCAACTTAGCAGATGTGTCTTAAGATCTTGAAAAGCACAAGGTTTCTTATGCAGCACATGCCACTAACTGGTGAGTAGGTCTTTGTCACTGCATTGAGTGAATTGAATCTGTTTGATTGGGCTTGTTAGGCTTACTTGGAAATTAAGTTTCCTGTTCAGACCTTGAAAGTGAGAGTGCAAACTTTGGTGGGTTAATCTGATGTGAAATTTCTTAGAACTCATTTTGGAATGGATTTTCACATCTGCACTAATTCTTAAATTTTTTAGCACTACAGGGAAGATCTATTCTTTGAAACAGGTGTATGAGAATGGCTCAAGTGGGAACATACCACAAGGCATGTATTATCGTAAACTAATTTTCAAATTACCCTTTTTTCCTTTCTATGTTCCCGGTACCTGTGGATCGACTCATTGGTGATTGTATCGACGAACGTTGACTACGGAACCTTCTAAAATATTTACTTAACACACATGGACATCAACTACATATAATGAACTGTTAATTAACTGTTCCAATAGCGTACTGAGCGCTTTGGGCAGGGAGGTGCGGGACCTGTGGGTGGACAGGGCCCTAGAGGAATGGGGCCTGGAACTCCAGCAGGATATGGTAGAGGGAGAGAAGAATATGAAGGCCCAAACAAAAAACCCCGATTTTAGATGTGATAATCTAGGCTTTCGTTCCAGTTTGTTTTTGTCTTTTCTTGTTTAGATACCAATCTTTAAAAATTCTTGCATTTTAGTAAGAAAGCTACCTTTTTATGGATGTTAGCAGTTTATTGACCTAATATTTGTAAATGGTCTGTTTGGGCAGGTAAAATTATGTAATGCAGTGTTTGAAACAGGAGAAATTTTTTTTCCTTTTTCTTTTCTTTTTCTTCTTTCTTTTTTTACTGTATAATGTCCCTCAAGTTCTGGCAGTGTACTTTGTGCCACTGAATTTCCAAAGTGTACCCATTTTTTTTTTACTGTGCTTCAAATAAATAGAAAAATAGTTATGATATTGATCTTCAACTTTGCCATTCATGCTTCTATGCACATTAGGCTAGGTATTCCACGTTGAAAGCATGAGCGTGTCTAGGCCTTTGAATGGCATATGCCATATCTGGGAAATGTATCTGGAGGCGAAGTATTGCTTTCTAGAAATAACTGCCCCCCTTCCCCCCTCCCCCGTTTTAAAAAGAAGAAATGCATATTGAAGTAGTTTCATGATTTGTTTGGCATTATAGGAAGCAAGCCGGTGCTAAGTATTTTTAAATGGTTATGTAAGCAAAGCTAACTGTAAATCTTCATTCAGGAATATGTATTAAGATTGTGGAATGGGTGTAAGACAATTGATAGAGGGCGAAAGTGGGTTTGGTTAAATGGATCTTTTATGGCCCTATGGTCTATCCTTTCCTTGACAGCTTTTGAAACGTGGAAAGATCATTTTGTTGCATTTCCCCATTTCTTGTTTTTAAAAGAACAAATCCCAAGCCCTACAAATGGCTTGTATTGAACTTTTACATTTGAATTAAAGATTGTTAAACATGAAACCTTTTCATGTATTACTTCAAGTGATTTATAAAGATGGGGTTTAGTTTGAAAACTTACTTGAAAGTAAGGTTTAGTAACCATAAAGTAGGTTAGCTATATATGCATTTGTACTCTGTAACTTTTATATCTCCTTGTGCTACTTCTGTTGGGCAAAATCTAGGACTATGAAAATCTATCAGTTCTCTTTTCTAAGAGCTAGTGGTGGCTTTTAATAACAGGGTTGCAGATAACCATGCTTACTGTAAATTTGTTACCTTGTTTTTACTCAGTTTCCTTTTGATGTAGCACTAAATCTGGAGAGACTTGCTCATGCTACACAGTACAAATATCCCTCCTACTGTAAAGCTTTGGAATGTTTCGATGCTGTTGTCAGTTAATTGTCAACTTCATTGAATCTCCTTCCATTAGAATGAGACTTTTTGACTATTAAAGTAGATGGTTTACTGTTGCCTGTTAGTACAGTGGAAGCCTGATTTCCCAGTGTAAATATGTTAGAGGAACAACTTCCTAACAATAGGTAAAGTAATTGAATGGTTTGGCTTTGTTCTTAGTTATGTTCCATTCAAATCTGTGCATTATAGAACTCTTTACTATGGAATATGTCTTCCTCCCTTTCACCTCTGTTCTTGGTGCTAATTGGCAAAAGAAAAATTCTAAATCATACTTTTGTTAATATGCTGAGTTTAGTATTGTGCCTGAGTACAAAAGGAGACCTATTCTTGAAACAATTGAGCACTTTCTGCGTAGGAAACAGGGTAATACTTAACACTAGTGTGGAGTATAAAAGCATCTCACAAAATTCTGGTTGTATAACTGACAGGTACATGGTGTGCTAATTAAGGAGAGAAAAATGCTCATTATTTCTATTCACCAGCACATTTGCAATTGAGTAGTTCTACCATAAGTATATCAATGAGGAAGTTTTGTCCCAAGTCATTAATTGGTGGTACATGAGATTTTCTGTAAGAAAACAAGGGTCTTGATTTGAAAAGGGGGACCATTACAGTTGGGTTGAATTACACAGTAGGGACTCTACTAATGACAAAAGAAGGGGTGTTCGTGGGACACCCACAGAGGGTGAACGTGAATGTGTGTGGGTGGGGGCTGGTGGGGAAATGGGAAAATCTGCCTGTAAAATTAATGTTTCAGTTTATTTTTCAGATTACATGCCTTTCTTTATAAGGGATGCTGGCACAGACCCCTAAAATAAGCTTTTGGTAGTACTGTACCTTTGAAGAGTGGTGAAGGATGCTAATGGATAATCTCCTGGAAGTTGTGGCTTTTGATACCCTTACTGTGGGCTGTAGAATTGCTAAACATTGTTTAGCAAATAATGTTGCTTAGTTTCAACTGACATTTGACTACTTTCATCACTGAAACAGCAGTGTACCAAGGGTTGTAAGCTTATTCAAATAGACTTTCAATAAGTCTTCAATGTATATGATAGTTTTTAGCCTAATGTGAATTTAAGTTTTCTTAATAAGTAGTTTTCTAAAAGTTGATATGAAACTGGGGTGGGAAAGGGAAGGTAATAAGTAGAAATATTTTAGCTGTTTTTCTTAAAGAAACCACTGCCCCCATTTCCTCTTCTCTGCTTTCTCTTGCAATTTTGTTTTAAGAGGAACACTGGTTGTTTTTTAAACTTATTTCTCCTTATCTTTAAAAACTGCATTCTCTAAGACCCTAGTGTATTTAACAGAAATAAGCATAGCCCATTGGTTCATTTTACTTAGTGAAACCATAATCTTCTTTGCTTAGGACATTAATTAAACTCCTAAGAAGTACAATAAAGCCCACCACTCTTTAGTTGTAGTATACCACTAATATAAACAGATGACAATTTGGGAAATTGTAATGTTACGCCTGTGCAATTTTTATAAGTGGCATATTATGGCAGATACAAATTTAGATACTTGGCTTTTCTTGGGCAAGCCACTAAGTTGTGGCGGAATGTTTTCTGGTGTTCTTGGACTGCAATTATGCACTATTTAAGTAGTGGCCTGCTACATAACTGCATTTAGCCAGCATTTCTGCAGTGCGTAACTGTGAGGAACGTAGTACCGCAAATGGCAATGGACATTAGGACCCGGATGTAGTATTCCTGCTTGCTCCAAGATTCTCATTGCCGACTGCATACAGGTAGGTAACAAGCAATATAATCTAACTTGGTGACTTGCTATGTACTTTTATTCCGTGGGCATTCTGACATCACACTTCTGACAATGAAATTACAGTGCAGCACCTAACACTTGTATGATAAGCTAGCTTATATCAAACCGTGTGGGTTTGGGGTTTGAACTGTAATTTCAGGCAGAATTCAGTGCTGTTGCAGTTCTCAGATGAAAAAGTGCAAACTTGATTCTTTGGTATATCTGATTCAGTTGTGTGGTTTTCTTTAGTTGCATTGTAACTGAAGATAACATGGAACACATCAGTGGTATGGGGGAGAGGGAACCAAACCATGCTTGGAACCAAGAGTGCTTTTAGCACTTTGACACGGACTGTGTATAGCATGTGATACTTAGTCTCCGTTGCAGCTAACTGACCTTGCCAATAGGTCGGCAATATCAGTAATATCAGTATGCAATCTTGGTAATTATCTTGCAAGTTGAGTGAATTAAGACTAAAAGTACTTTTTTTGTAATGTGACTTAAAATTTTTTAAAATATGGGCTTCATGTAAACATCTTTGTTACTAACCTGGGCTTAGATGGGAATCTAATGTGAATAGTTCAAGTTATGTGACTTGTCTAAATACGTCTATACTTTAAACCTGGGGGAAGGTGGTGTGGAACATTGACTTGCCTACAATTGAATACATGTTGGGAATCATTCCCAATCATAAGACTTCGTCGTATTCTGTAGGATGACTGCATATGTTCAGAGTAGCTTCTTGAATTTAGTTCCCTTAGCTTTAGAGATGTGATACTATAGTCCAAAATGCTTAATTACCCAAAAAAAGTCTTTCAAAAGCACCTTCTTTAGTTGCATCGACTGTTGCTCCAGACCTCAATTCAACTCAACTTTGGTCTCTGAACTGGTTTTTAGCTAGCATGCATGAAAAACAACTTTCATGTATAATGCTTTCTGCTCTGTAATTGGAAAGTTTGGTTTACTTTGCATAAATGCTGGTGAAAACTCTTCATGACTGAGAGGTTTCTTTGATTGTATCTAGAAAAATAGCTTGCTTTTTGGCAAGCAGTTCACAAGGTGGGGACAGACTTGTACTTTAGTATGTGTAGTTCATTCAAGCGAACAACTTTTACTTCTGATAGGTGAAAGAGCAAATGGTGGCTAGTTTAACTCCTCAATAATACAATGCAGATCAAGCATAATGCTAAGTATTAGTGACATGAATATCACTAAATTGCATAGAACCCTGAGGGGGGATTCCTATATCATATATAATTCATTAAATCGGTGGCCAAAATGTTTGCTGCCGTGGTCTAGTGATTGGGTGTTTAGAACTAAAAGCTCAGGTTCTTTGCTACCAGTCAGTAACAATTTTCAGAGAGTATACTTGGTATGATATATGGGCTTCAGGAACATCATTGGGGTGGGGGGATCACTTTTGCTTTATTCTGCTCACTTCAAGATTATTAGGCTTTTGCACTTTAGAATGAGAAACTTGTGACTTAAATCTGTTCTTACTAGTTTTATTTGTATGTAGCTATAAATTGTGAATCTTAGTGCAGTGGGTTTTTTAAAACACTCAAAAAGCTGCGAATTAAATGGGTTTCAGTAATAACTCTATACTGAGGTGCTTGCATTGTATTTCATAATCGTTTCTTGGTGTAAGCCAAAATTATTCTTTTTAATGGGAACAATCTGAGTTCAGAGGTGTGATGCCAGAATGTATTTTCGTACTGTTAGGCCCTTGGAACAGATACCGGTGCTTTCTGAAAGATGAAAGAAATGCAATGGGTGCTCTTCATGCAAGGTTGCAAACCTACAAAGAATGCATAATAGTCTACTCCCCAATAAAGAGATGCGTGTGTCTAGTTTTGGACTTTTAACCTTAATGGGGGTTGCATGTCTCCTATTGTTAATCATTGTCAGCTGCAGTGACATGATCCACAGTCCTGCATTTACTGCCTTTCCCTTAATGATTTTGGACAGGTTTTAGAGAGCCAGGATGTTTGTTCTGGGCCTTTATTTGGTTTTGGCTTTAGCTGATAATGTTTCAGTGCTGTCAGCTAGCGCAGTTCTCAAATGGCTGCCTATTAGGGAAAGAATTCAGAGGATTTGACTGCTCCTAATCATCTGTCATTGCTGCTAGATAATGATTGGCAATTTTTAAGACTCAACTGTGGAAATCTCAACAGTTGCTACTAGTAAACCATCAACCATAAAAATGTTGCTTTTAAACACCAGTACTGAAAAGACTTTTTTTAGAGTGAACAAGGGGCTGGATGTAGAATAGGATAATCTGGAGAATGGGGGGAACAATGCAAAACGATATAGTATCCCTTATGGATGGTACATGTGCAACAGGGAACTCTTATTTTCATATATCCTTGGCAGTAATGGTACAGGGAGGAAGAAAAATCTGGAACTTGAGTTAAGGGTGATCTTTCTGTTTTGTGCACTGTGGCCCTGCTAGGCATATAGTGAAGGTGAATGTCTTCTCCCTCAGAAAAACTCGGTTCCTTGCTGTCCCAGTAAGGCATAGTTTCCCTGCCAACTAAGAAGTTAGTGGAAAGAACAAAGCATATACATAGGTTTGCCAGGATAACAACTGCAGTGTTGTGTACTGTGGGAAGGGGAAGGGCATTCTTGGAGGACTCCTGTTGAAGGTGGCCAGCCCACCTGAGAATGGAAGACATACTTGAATGGGGAGCAGGGTATGTGCTTTTTATATGAAATGAGAGCTGATGTTAGAACTCATTTGGTGAGGTAAACGTTGTCACATACCTTCACATAAGGGATAGTATATTTTGGGTTGCAGTAAAACTTCATTGTGCTCAGACTGGTGAAAATAGAAGTTAGGCTTTTATAATTTAAAGAAGATACAATTTTCATTCTAATTCAGATAACTACGTACTACTTTATGTAAGAATAATTTTAGATTTTTTTTTTTTCCCCATGAAGTTTCTTCCTATTTTTTTATGCTGTAACTTATCCCCAATCTTTGTCTCTGGAATTTTACTCTTTAAATTTTGAAGTTAACTAGCATTTTCAAACCTTTGTTATATACCCTTGTCTTTTATATTAACTTTTTCTTATTATTCTTTAGGTAAGAATGATTGATGTTGGCTGATACCAGAGTGCTCATTCACTTGAAGTAAGATTCTTTAGAAATCTTAAATTCCAGAGGATTTGGGGTTTGTTTAGTGTTAAGATAGATTTGGCTGGGTGCAGTGACCTACGCCTATAATCCCATCATTTTCCTAAGTCTCTGTTGCCCAGTCTAGAGTACAGTGGGTTGATCATAATTCACTGGAACCTCAAACTGAGCTCAATTGATGTTCCTGCTTCAGCCTCCTGAGCTGAACTACAGGCATTTGTTTCCACACCCAGCTAATTTTATTTTTATTTGTAGAGACTAGGTCTTCCTGTGTTGCCCAGCTAACCTCACACTGTTGCCTCATGCAAATTCTCTTTCTTTGTCTTCCTAAAGCATGGGGATTAAAGGCATGGGCTACTGCTCCTGGCCTAATTTTTGTGTTCTGGAAATAGGTGTATGTGAGTGAGAAGGCAAGTAAGGTGTATTTATTATTAAAAAGACAAACGTGGCTGCTTGTGGTGGCCCACACCTGTAATCCCAGCACTTTGGGGGGGGGCTGCTTGAGACCAGGAGTTCAAGATAAGCCTGAGAAATACAGTGAAACTCCATCTCTACAAAAGTAAAAGAGAATTAAAGTAAGTCTGTAGTCTCAGCTAATTGGGAGTCTAAGATGACAGGATGGCTTGCTTGAGCCCAGGAGTTCATAGAACAGAAAAGAGAAAGCTGGTATTAATGGAGAGATGCCATAACTTTTTATATTAAATTAAACTTTAGACTCATGCAAAATCCCTGTGGACCTTTTTTACTTGTACTATAAATAGTAGACTTTAGTTGTTTTGGTAGTAGAGAAAATTCCATAAGACTGTGTGAAGAAAACAACCTTGATATAGGGCCAGGTCTTTTATATGCAGTAACATAGTCAAAAATAAATAACCATTTGGGACCCATGCTAAAATTGTATGGATTATTTAAAAAGTAAATGTAATAATATTGAACGTGTTGTTTTTAATTATAGGTGGATAGATACTTGTTCTCAAGACGCCACACAGCGTGAGCCAACCAAGAAGGGACCGCACAAGTTGTTAGACTGACATGTGTCTAGGTAAGTTGAAGGATTCTTGTTATACTGCCTTCAGAAGGGTTTGTGTGGTATAAAAATAACAACACTAGTGTGTGAATCATTGCTATTAAAGCCATATTCTTTGATTAATATTTCTTTCGTGTTAGGAAGTTCATTTGATTATTGCTGATATGTTACGTTTGAGAACCTGATAACTCTGATTCTTATGCCTTTTGGAAGTAATCATATCCTTTAATTGGCAGGATCAGGTGAGCTGTGTCCAGAAAACCAGTGAGGAGGAATGCAAGGAGGAAAGAACAACATATTTGTCATTAATAAAGACATTTTGATTATCCTTTGTTTTTAAGTAGTACTCATTTTCTAGAAATGTCCTTAACTGACTTAAAAACTACCTTAAAAAGTTGTTCTATATTACAGACACAGGATCAGAATATACATTTAAGACACTTGAGGCTATCAGCAATGCACCTTTTTTTTTTTTTTTTTTTAATCAGTCTTATTCTGTCACCCAGGCTAGAGGGCAGTGGCGCACACTCATGACCACTGCAGCTTCAACCTTCTGGGCTCAGGTGATCCTTCTGCCTCAGCCATCCAAGTAGATGGAACTACAGGCGTGCACCACCATGCCCATCTAATTTTTTTGATTTACTGTAGAGACACGGTCTCGCCAAGTTGCCCAGGCTGGTCTCGAACCCCTAGGCTCAGACAGTCCTCTTGCCTCTGTCTCCCAAAGGGCTGGGATTACAGGTGTGAGCCGCTGTGCCTGGCTAGCAGTGCTTTTAATCTCATAATTATTGGCTAGGCTCAGTGGTTCAGCCTGTAATCCCGCCCTTTGGGAGGCTGAGTGAGTGGATTGCCTGAGCCCGCAGGTTTGAGACCTGCCTGGGCAACTTGGTGAGACCTCATCTCTAGAATAAATCAAACATTAGCCAGGCATGGTAGCACGCACCTGTTGTTCCAGCTACTTGGAATGCTGAGGCGGAAGGATTGCCGGAGCCCAGCAGGTCAAGGCTGCAGTGGCCGGAAGTGGCCACTGCACTCCAGTCTGGGTGACAGAGTGAGACTCCAACTCAAAAAAAAAAAAAAATTTCAGTAAGGAGTTTTTTTTGGCCATTTTCTATTTTTCTAGCTCACCTGATTTAGTCAGCAGTAGTTTTTAAATTACTTGAGTCTGTAACATTTTCTTTTTTTTTTTTGAGTTGGAGTCTCACTCTGTCGCCCAGAGTGAAGTGCAGTGGCACACTCCCGGCCACTGCAGCCTCACCCTGCTGGGCTCTGGTGATCCTTCCGCCTCAACCTTCTAAGTAGCCGGAACTACAGCTGTGCACTGTAATTTTTTCTTTTTTTTTTTTTTGAGTTAGGGTCTCACTATGCCACCCAGGCTGGACTGCAGTGCCATGATGATGGCTCACTCCATCGACCTGGTCTTGGGTGTTGTTTCACCTCAGCCTCCAAAGTGTCTGGGACTACAGACATGGACACCATACTTAGCTAACTTTCTAAAAATAATTTTTGTAATTTTTGTAGAGATGTGGACGTGGTGGTTTATGTTAGTAATCCCAGCACTTTGGGAGGCCAAGGCAAGAGGATTGCCTGGGCAACTTGGTGAGACCTTGTCTCTACAATAAATAAAAAAAAATTAGCCAGGTGTGATGGTGCATACCTGTTGTTCCAGCTACTTTGGAGGCTGAGGTAGAAGGATCTCCTGAGCCCAGCAGGTCGGGCCTATGTTGACCTTGAGCATGTATGCCATTGCCCTCTAGCCTGGGCAACAAGAGACTTCTCAAAGTTACTGTGTAATTAGCAACTATTACCTGCATGCCCCTTTGATTGGATTTCGGGCATAATATTTCTTTTTTTTTTTTAATAATTAGTATTTTTTATTATGGTTTTGTGGGGTACAGTTAAGGGTTAGGTGTACAATTACGTTCATCAGGCACC